TTTGGACAAAATTCAGTTTATGTTTTTGCTTTCTTTGAAATAAAAAAATCACTCTGGTTGAACAGCTTTGTCAACACAACGGCCTGAACATATGATGAGGGGTGGGAAATTGCTTTATATTAAGGGGCCAAAACAAGGTTGGGTGGGAATTTTACTTAAATACATACCTTTATATATAGTACAAGTTGATTTCAATATGAAATTAAAAAAATATTACTGCTGTGTTTTCCCCATGAACATCTCTAGCAGATAAATTTATTATTATTATTATTATTATTATTATTATCTATTTCTAGTTCCATTTTGATCTTTCAAATTTGAAATGTCATGGAGTTAACATAAAGGCAAGTGTCTTTCCCTTCTACTCATTACTGTGATATTACACAATAATTGAATTATTATATCTGATTAAAAAAAATCTAAATACAAATTTTTAGCCAACAAGACGCTTAAAATAAGCCTAAAATAAAAACAAAATGGTCATTTTAATCCTGAGTAAACGCAGGTTACATCACCCCACTGCTTACAGAACAACTCCACCGCCTGCTCACCTGGTTTGAAATGATCCTTGTAGACTTCACCGCCGACAAACCGACAGAAAGACATGCTGCGTCTGCACAACAGATCTAAATAACAATAAATGTGGTTCAGTCTCTCTTCATACGGCGGCTACAGATGACCGGACTGTTCTCCTCCTCTCGTGTGAAGAGATCCTGGCTGGAGATTTAACAGTAGCTCCGCCCACTGCTGTTATCTGCATTAACACTAGATGTCCGTGTTTGACAACAGGAGGCAGGTGGACATGGAGGCATTTTATTGGACATAAGTTCAGTCAAACCCTCAGTGGAAACCCTAAAATAGATTTACTATGTGCATAAATGGCTCCATTTACAGTTATAGTGTTGGGAATATCTCAGCTATTGTATTTATTTTAGGATGAATCAGAATCAGCAAATGTCCCAGTGACCCACACAGTCTGTTGTCCTTGTATTCACCTTTTCATATCACATTTTGACAACTGGGTCTTTGTTACACATTATTTATTAAAAACTCTCACTTAGGTGACAGTTCAACTGTGTAAAAACTGTTTCAAAATGTGTAAGAATTCAAATGTTCCAAAAATATATGGGAATTAATTTAATCTTCTAAGGAGATGGATCAGTGTGCCCCGAGTAGATCCTTCTTACTGCTGCATGCTGACACCAAGCGAGAAGATGCATGATGTGATGTGATGCCCATTTCTACAAGCTGAATTATTTGTTAAATTGTACAGACAAATCACAAAGCATACAGGACACAATGGCTCACTCTTTATGTAGACCAGGGTTGATAATATTAAAATCAATGTAACTTTTCATTTTCCACCATCTAACATGTAAGTAATGTGTGTGAGAGAGAAATTGATGAATCATACCATATTTGAGGGAAAAGTAGAATCACAAAGACTGACACCTAACCAATCCTGAGTGTGAATTTATTTTAGTTTACACATCAGAGACATGATGTCAGCGTTATCTGAGCATAATGTTGTTAGTTTTACTTTATAAAGGAAACAGAGATCATGAATTAGTTTTATTTTCCATCATGAAAATATATATCCTTTACTTGGTAGAAACTGAGAGAGAGCTCATAAATGATATTCTGTCCATTGCAGGGCTGTGTCCTTCATTCATACTTGCAGTAGTGCTTAAGGGCTTCTGGCAGCTCCAGCCAGTCAATGGCCATTCTGTGGACAATGTGCTTCTGGATGGCCTTCCTACACAATGTCTGCAAGGACGAGACTGAAGCCACAGAGGAATGGGACAAAAAAAGACAGAAAAGACTGTGGATTAGCAGAATGAAAGTAGCGATGAGCAATTATTAAATAATGAAGAAAGGTGCATTAAAAGCATGGATGAAATAGTAAATGGGTCCATGGGCCAGAGCCTATATATGTAGCAACAGTTAATAGTTTAGTTGGAAAGCTAATCAAATGACTGAAAAGAGATGAACAATGACCACAAAGAAATGCAAAATTACACAAAGCAACCACAATGGACGGAAGACAAACTTAAAGAGACTTGAAACAACTACAACAAGATGAAAAGCATCCACAAAGAGACACAAAACAGCTACAAAGAGATGGAAAGTGACTGCAAAGAGACAAAAAATTAACTCAAAAAGACACTAATCAACTACAAATGTCTGAATGTCTTGGTATGCCTGAAAAATGTTGAAAAGAAAGTCTCTTTCAGTAACACACAGTAACATGTCTGCGCCAGAGGCCCATTGTCTCACAATCAGTCCATGTTTAATAGTATCACTGCGACACTCACATCCATACTCCACCTGGACAATTCGGACACACTTGGTAGCAGCAAAGACGTCCACCACAGCATAGAGAGGCTGGATGGCGGGGATCCCCTTTGCAGAAGCTCCCATGTCCTCGCCATTGATGATAATGTGCATATCAGCCAGGTCTTGCCCTTTAGGCACATACAGTACTCCTATTCGGCTACGTCTGGCTGTGGGAGGCAGGGCGTTGGTCTTATACAAGTCATCCAAAATGTGGCTGTAGCGTCCGGGCCTGCTCCGACCGACCAGCTTGTCTCTGGGGACCCGAATATTCTCAATGCACAAGTGAGAATCAGTGAAGAAAGTCTTTGGGTTGTTGTTGTTGTTGTTGTTGCCTTCTCCATCTCTACCTCCAACTTCAACCTCCCCATGTCCAAGCCTTTGGCCCCCCGCCAGTCCTCCATCTCCAGCCTGTTGACCCTCTGCTCCGGCATCTTCTATGATCTTGTTGTGGTTGCGAGTAATGGCAAATACCCAGCTGTCTCCTAAGTCTGTCAGGTCTGGGATGGAGTATTCAGGTACCACCTCTAAGTTCCTGGGGTCCCTGGCAGTCAGGCCTACCCGGAGGTGGCCACACCAGCCGAGCTCCTTATCCTCAATCTCTATGAGGAAAATCTCCCCAGGTTTCAGAGGTTGTTTGCTGAAACACACTCCATTTGCAAAGCTCTCTACCCGTGTGGCCTGGGTTCCTGAGTAGTCCAGTCTGACATTGATACCATGGATGGGGTGGAACTCCATGAACTGGTCAGGAAAGGGCTCCATTTTCAGTTCTGTTTGCACCAACTGAAGCGCTCACTCTGGTTCATGGAACAGAAACTACCATCAACACGATATTCCCAGTTGGATAGCTGTCAAAAAACTCAACAAACAGAAACAAACTTACTAAAACTTCCCAGTCAAACAGTCTCGCAGTGGTTTCAGACTATTGCCGTCCAACACATGGTAACACTGAAAACTTGCACAGACGAGATCCGTGCTCTGTCTATCTGTGGGCCACTCAGGGAAGCTTCTGGTAGAGGTCTATTTTTGAACAGCTGCATATGTCAACAGATGGCAGTGTGAGTGTATCTGTGTGTGTGTGT